TTCTGGTTTAACTACTGTTGTTCGTCAATTAGCTGTAGGCAATATGCAAACTGTAAAAGCATGTGAAATTTGCTCGGTAATTGGGCACCAAACTGATGCCTGCCCAACTCTTCAAGAAAAACCTATTGAACAAGTTAACACGGCTGGAGGTTTTCCTGGACAACCTCAAGGTAAGTATGATCCATTTTCCAATACATATAATCCTGGATGGAGGGATCACCCAAACCTTAGCTATGGAAACTCACAAGGGAACCAGTTTGTTCAGAATCGTTCTAATTTTCAGCAGTATAGACAACCATTTCCTGCAAGACAACAACCGACCCAAGGCTCTAGCTCAGGTATGAATCTAGAAGATATTGTTAAATCTCTTGCTACTAACACTCTGCAGTTTCAACAAGAAACACAAATATTCCGTCAAGAAACAAAGGCTAGTATTCAAGAAACAAATGCTAGTATTCAAAACTTGGAAAGACAATGCAAATGGGCCAACTAGCAACTACGGTTAGTCGGTTGGAAGCACAGAGTTCTGGCAAACTACCCTCTCAAACGATGGTTAATCCAAAAGAGAATGTAAGTGCAATTAGTGTTGACAGTATGTCGCTGGAAAAGAATGTTGATTTAAACAAGGAAATAAGTGCAGGAATCATTGCCAACAATAAAGAGAAGTCCGAAGGTAAGCTTTCATCTTTTTCTGATTATGAACCAGTACCCCCATTTCCTCAAGCTCTTTTAGAAACAATAAGAGGAAACTCAAATAATGATCTGTATGAGACCTTTCGTGAATGTGAGGCGAATAAACCATTTTTAGATTCTATGGAAAAAGTACCTCGCTATGCAAATTTTCTAAAAGAGGTACGCACTATGAAAAAGAAATGAAATAATGAAAGAATTGAGGAAGTGAAAGTGCAAGAGAATGTCTCTATGGCTAGTCAAAGCAATCTTCCTGAAAAGTGCAAAGACCCAGGTATGTTTACTATTCCATGCATGATAAGTGGGGTGAAATTTGAAAATGCTATGTTAGATTTGGGAGCTTCTATTAATGTCATGCCATATTCTGTTTATGCTTCTTTAAATCTTGGACCCCTGAATAAATCTAGTATAATAATTCAATTGGCTGATGGATCTACTACATATCCTAGGGGTGTGATTGAGGATTTGATTGTTGAAGTTGATAACTTGGTTTTTCCTGCTGATTTTTATGTGCTTGATATGGAAAATAATAATCATATTTTGTTAGGAAGGCCATTCTTAAAAACCGCAAAAACAAAAATTGATATTCATAGTGGTATGCTTACTATGGAGTCTAATGGTAAACTTGTGACTTTTAATATTTATGATACCATGAAATCTCCTAGTGATGATAATTTTGCAATTTTTGTTGATTCTTTGAACTTTGTTACATTTGATGAAATTGCTTCGAATGAAAAAGAAAGAAATAATAAATCATCTTTGAGTACTAATCTACATGAAGGGACTGTTTCTTTGAATACTCATAATCATCGAAGGTACTCAAAAAGAAGATGGAAATTTAAAGAAATATCATAAGTCGAGCCAACGACGATAAACAAAGGCGCTGCTTGGGAGGCAACCTAAGGTGTGCTTGTTCCATTTTTTTTCTTTTATTCCCTTTTCTCATTCAATAACCCTTTTTCTGTGTTTTTTTTTGTTCAACATTGGGGACAATGTTGATAATAAGTGTGGGGGAGGGAATTTAGTTTTATTATTTGTTTGCATATGTCAAAATTTTCAAAAATTTTCAAAAATATTTTACTAGTATTTTATGCAAAATAAGTATTATTTTGAAAAAAAAATTCCTTTCCTGAAATTCATAATGTGATTGAATAAATAGTTTGGCAAATTTTGATTAGTTTGTTAGCATTTCTTGTTTGATATGTAGTGGCTATATTAAGTAAGCAATAAACCTGTGAGTGTTTTGAGCTATTGACTGACACTTCGGTCTTATTTTCTTTCTATTGTGCGATTTCTTCCATAATTTTGTTTCTCTAGAACTTGCCTTGATTCTCTTTTAAAGCTAATTAGACCATGCATGATTCAAGTGTGATTAAGGCCATTATTTGATCTTGAGTCTCACTAGCCAAATAACCGGTTTGTCCTATGATTTATTTCCCCTTGTTAACCATTTTGAGCTTTATGGCCATTCTTTTCTTTATTTTGAACCACATTACAAGCCTTTTATATCTAAAAATAATGCCTTCACCCAGCTGAATAACTAGTGGAGCAAATTTTGAATTATTCGTGTAATCTACGCGAGGTTGTGAGGAAGAAGTGTGGGGGAGGTCACTTTCTTGTGTTAATATGATGGAGAATGAGGTGGGTTGTATCTTCATTGCCGATTTGTCACTGGTCTTCTATGAAAAAGAAAACGAAGACAATTCATGATTCCAAAAAAAAAAAAATATGAAAATCGAAAAAATGGAAAAATGGAAAAATGGAGAATATATGTTTGAAAAAGAAAAATATTGCTGAAAATTTATGAGAAAATGAGAAAGAATCAGCAATTGATTTTGAGTTGAAGTTACTTCTAAATAAATGAAGTAAGGGGAAATTCTGGTAATACTGAGGAAGCATTCTATACTTGGTGTTGAACAAGTATCTTGGATTATTTGTATTTATTTACTCCTGTAGTTTGAAAGCTTTTGTTTAAGCTACTTTCCTAAATATTCCCTACCTTAACCCTAGCCCCATTACAACTTGTGAAAAGTCCTTATGATTTGTGTCATGCATGACTCTTGTAGTGGTGATTGAGAAGATATGCAAGCCTATGGTAGAGCAATTTTATAGGAATGAACTTGAGCGAAATCTATACCGATCAAACACTTGAGTGATGAGTGATATTCCTGTGAGGGCTTACTTATTTAGTTTTCTTCATTTTCAAATAGGAATGCTAACTTATTAATTGCAGGGTGCTTCAGATTGTTGCTCATGAAGTGTTATGAATTTTTGGAATTTCATTTCAATTTACTTCGCAAATAATATTTTTGCTTGGGGACAAGCAAATGTTTTAGTGTGGGGGAATTTGATAGGCATATTTTACACCCATATTTTAGGTACATCTTTATAATAATTTTGTATTAGTTATTTAATATTATCTTATAATTAGTTCTTCTTATAATATATAATATATAATATATAATATATATAATAAATAATATATAGAGTTCATACAACGTACGTACTAGTTATATATATATATATATATATATATATATATATATATATATATATATTAATGTTAAATATGGTTTCTTTGTCCAACCAAGATGCATGCATGCAAAGAAAGGAATTGAAACATTCATTTCAATCTTTCCAAATTAACCGGGCAAATTATATTATGCACCGCGGTGCATAATCGATTATGCACCGCGCGTCTTTTTTTTAAATGAAAATTAACAGTGTTTATTTCCGCCGTTTCGCACCCTTTTGCAAAAAGTAACTCTGTTATTCAGTGTCATTTTGTATACACTGCAGTTTCAATTGAACATAACTACAGTTTCATTTCGATATAACTATAGTTTCATTCAATATTTATAGACTCAAATATGTGAAAATGTTATTTAATTTTATTTTATATACACTATAGTTTCATTAAAACACAACTACATGATCATTTTGATATAATTACAGCTTCATTGTACAATATACACTCAAATATGTGAAATGTTATTCAGTTTCAGTTTATATACACTGCAGTTTCATTTCACTATAACTACAGTATCATTTTGATATAACTGCAGTGTCGGTTTAGATATACTGTAGTGTCAGTTGGTGTTTAATACACCAAACAAACGGACTCCGTTAACTCTAACGGCGGGCCGTTTCTTTACTTAAAGAAACGGCGTCGTTTTTTACCGCGGTGCACATACACCGCGGTCTATAATATAACGACTGAATTAACCGGTCGTCAACCAAATCATGCGCAGGAAACGGAAGATTAATTCGGACGTGAAGCTGAAAGTTAGGAATTGGATGGTTGAAATTCATTTGGCCTTTTTTTAGAATGCTATAAATAGTAGGAGTTTACTTTTGTAAAATGTTCATTCTTTCCCTCTCGATTATTCATTAAAGTTGTTGTCAATGTCCATTCGTGGCTAATTTCTTTAGCTTGGTTTAGTGAATTTAAGCCCCGGAATTGATTATGCTGTAAGATTATTTATTTATTTTATTATATAATATTTATGCATTTGGGTATTAAATATTCTTCTAAGTTATTTGATATAATTATTTGCTATATTAGATAATGTTGTGCTACAAATTATTCTAATATTCAGTAGCAACTGAGGTTAATTATTGACGGCTTAGTGATAATTGATTTCAGGAAGAATATTTTCCTAAATTAAATGCAACCGCTTGTGCTTGTGTTATTTAGTTTGTTGGTTTTCCTAGTTCCTATTGCTGCTATTAAATTAAATCTATAGCGCTTTTCTTAGGTTATTTAGTAGTTAGGGGTAATTAAACCGCTTGTGCTTTATTTACCTACAACTAAGGGAAAACAGAAATGAAATAATTTCACGACAAATATTCAATTGCATACTAATTACCTTTTGAATCAATGATCAGTGTTAAATTCTGGTGGTGGATCTTTACTAACCAAGGTTTTCTATTATAGGTGCTTTCAATATATTGTTTTCATTGCTTTATTCGTTTATTTTCTTTGATTATCATCTTCATACCAAACCCCCCTTTACTTTAATTTGAGCACATACATTAAACTAGTTACTCCTCGTGAGATCGATCCTTACTCCCGCTACTACGTTTGTAAGGTTTTAATTTGGGAGCCTACGACAGCTCACCAATAACAAAAGCTTCTGGAAATTTTCGACGCGTCGAACCCGTGGTTCGACGCGTCAAGCCCAAGCAGTGTCGAAAAAAAAGCTTCAGTTTTTTTTAAGTCCTTTAAAATCAGATTTTTTCCCTACCCCTCCCACAATTCCCTTCTCGCTCAACCTCGCCCTAATCACCTAAGTCCGAAATCGTCAAACATTTTCACTCCAAGTAACTCCTAAGACTACAAGGTAACATCCCTACTTTATTTTACTCTCTTATTCTTGAATTGGTGGTGCTATTTGCTTAATTTTTGGGTAGGAACCCTAACCCACGAATTTTTCCCCAAATTTTGAAATTTTGAAAGCTAGGTTGCTTAGGGCTGATTGTTCTAGATTAATTGTTGTTTTGAGTGTTGTTCTTACTTATTTATGATACCTTGGACTCATATTTTGATTCTTGCAATTTAGTTTTCCTTTCAATTTGTTGTTAGATTATATGCTTAGTAGAGTAATTTTATTTTTTTACATTGTTTAGTTTAGTTTTCTTTGGCATATGATGTTGGTAGAATGTATCTTGGATATGGTTGTTAGTGGTGAGTCTATGGGAAGAATTTGGGGTTTCAATTTCACTAAGTTTTATATACAAATTTCATGCCCACAAGGTGTTTGATAAAATGCCGAAATGAATCTTATGCCTAATATTGAAGAGTTTGGGAACCTTTGCCACATTTGTGATATCTTGGTTATTTTGGCTATGTTCTAATCTTTGAGATTATTGCTCTAACCTTGTGTTTTGTAGACCTTCCTCATGGCACCTAAGGCACGAGCGCAGTCCAAAAGACCAAGAGCCGAATCGTCTCAAGCCCGAACACAACCCCAAATCCCGACATTTGAACGTTTTGTTACTCCCGCGGCAGCAGACAGATACCAGTGCTTGATGTCTGCAAGGCCGGTACGGAAGGAAAGAGGAGCAGAGATTGCGGTCCCAATGGTATGGAATTGGGGACCTCGATTCCTAGCTCAGCCAGGGGATGCATTTGGCACGCTTGTTCGGGAGTTCTATGCCAATGCTAAAGACGACCTCCGGGACAACATATGCACTGTTCGAGGCGTTCAGGTAGATTTCTCCATAGAGTCCATCAATGAGTAATACGGTACCATTAATCACCGTGGCCATGATTATTTTCACGGGGACATGGGCAGTGGCAGCATGGAGCTTGGTTGGTTGAACCGAATTGCCAAGTATTTCAACCCAGCAGCTGAGTGGAACATTATGGGGGGGGGGGGTGTAGCCTCCCACATGGATTACAAGTACATCCAGCCGGCTGATCCAACCCATCTTAGACTTCATCAAGGTCAAACTCGTCCCCAACTCTCATAAGGGGAATGTTAGAAAAGATCAAGTGCTCCTAAAATATTGCATCAAGGAGCACCAGACCATTGATATTGGCTGAATTATCAATGGAAACATCCATGAAATAGCGGAGGCAAAAGGACGAGTATTTCTTGGCCATTCCTATCTTATTACTCACCTTTGTCAGTTGGCAGGGGTACCTATTGATGAAACCCAGGAGGTCCAGGTGATACCACAGGCTTTCATCTCACAGCACTACATTGCTACCTGCTACAGGCCAGGACAGGGCGTTCCCCAGGGGGACGATGATGATGCGGGGGCTAAGGAGAATGCCCCTCAGCTTCCTGCCCCAGCTCCTGCCCAGCCCTACGACATGCCAGATTTCATGAGGCAGTATCAGGAAGAAGTCCAGCGGCAGCAGGACTTCAGGAGACGGAGTGATGAGGTTAACTGGTTTATGGGCACTTACGTACACCAGCAAAACCAAGCACTCCTTGGTTTCACACCCCAGTTCCCACCACCACCACCTTGGCTCCAGGATCCACAGTTCATTCCAGACTTCTACCGGGGCTACTATCCACCACCACCGCCCCCGGATACGGATCCGCAATAGCCATTTTCTAGAGTAAACCTTCAATTTCTTTTTCCTTTCTTTATTTTACTACATTGGGGACAATGTATTCTTCTATGTTTGGGGGGGGGGGGGATTGAAGGTATTTTTCTTTTGTTTTTTCCTTTCGTTGTTTCGTTATTCGGTACTGTTTTCTAGTTTTTGTTTAGTATTTAAGTATGTTATTTGACATTCTGCCCGTTTAAACAGTAATTGTGCTTAATTGTCCAATTTGTGCTCTTTTGGTTGCTGGTTATTTACTTGAGCTTTTTGCTTGAATGATTCATGTCTACTTTGGTATATGAACTGCTTGCCATAGCACATAATTGCAATTGCTCTCTCATGTCGGTTAGTGGTTTGTTTTGGTGCAACTTGCTGCGTCTTAATGTGTCATGGATGAAATCAAAGTGTAACACATTTTTGAGTCATTCCCTTGTCAATATCCTTTTCCACCACTAATAATTGGACTTAAATTCTTAATCTAGTGGTTAGTGCATTGCTAGTGAAAGATTATGTGGAATTCCGGCATTGGTTGGCTTACTAGAACTTCTCCCAATACTCCTTTGGTCTAGTCCGATTTTTGCATGTTTATAAGTGATTTAGGCCATTTTTGGTAACCTAAGGCCTTTAAACCTACCCTACTCATAAGAGTATTTATCTCTCGTGTCCCCTTCGACACTTTTTCATTGTTAAATAAGTGCTAAGCACTTAATCCCAATTTTTGTGATTCTTTCTTGGTATAAACCCACATTATTAATCCCATAGCCCTTAGCCAAATTTATATCCTTCCACCCTTGAGAGAATGTAACTTTTATCTTTAAAAAGTCCTATAGAAGAGATCTTTGGAGCTCGTTCATAAAAGCAATTTTTATTCAGAAAAGCTTAAGTGAGGGGGTCTAGTTTATCTGTATGAAGTTTCATCCCTTAATCAGGTTGTTATGAAAAGTGCCAAAAAAAACGATGAAAAGAAGAAGAAGGAAAAAAAAACTAGTTTAGCTTGATCGGAAGTTTTTTGTTAAAACCCCCAATTCCATTAGAATTTTTACAGTATTGATGAGCTTTTTTTTTTTCCTCCCTTGATCAATTAATTCATCTCTTCTTGGATTAAAAATTGATAGATAATTGTGTCATTCTCTCTCTTTTGATATTATTCCATACCCTTTTTTTTCTATTACCTTTGACCCCTGACCCCATTACAAGCTAAATAAAGACCTACTTGGTCTTTGCATGCAATCTTAATTCTATACTAGGAGGAGTATGAAGGGCAAGCCTGTAGGACGTTTTTCTGATGTCGTGTTTTGCATAAACCTAACTGAGTATATGTGCACACTAGATTTCTCATACTAATAATCTAGGTGCTTGGATATTGGCTTGAGAATGGAACTTGTGTGCCAAACAGAGATAATTCTTGAAACATGTTGTTTTGTAGCAAGCTGGTTTGTGGTATGTTAGGCTGTGCATGAGAGAGTGGGGGTGATTTTCGTGCTTGACTTGTGATTCACCAGAGTATTTTGCTTGAGGACAAGCAAAGGTTCAAGTGGGGGGGGGGGGGGGGGGGTTGATGTAATTACAATTACATAAGTTTTTATTGGTTATTTGTTTCATTTTGGAAGCTTAAATTCAATGGATTGGCATGTCAAATGCCTTTCTACTTGCTTTCGCATTAAAATATGGTTTTACACTTGCTCCGGGTATTTACTTGTTTGCAAATTTACTACGCTTCACCGTTTCAACTCGTGCCAAGAAGCATCTTTGTGACAACCCAAAATTTAATTTTATAAATTCGATTTTAAGATATTCCAAAATAGCCGTTTTGTAATGAAAACGGTGTTTGAATTAACTATTTTGAGCTACGTTTTAAATAAATTCAACACCGGGACTTATGTTATTTCTAAAATCCTAAATTTTCGGGTACATTGCGTACCAAGTTTTTGACCCAAAAGTCAATCTGAGTGAAATTGGGAGGAATCTGAGAAACCTAAACCAAGTGGTTATCTAGAAATCATTTTTGGAAAATCTATTTTTGACCCCAAACTATTTAAAACTATCTTTCTAGACTTTGGTCCATGTTGCTTGATGGACCACAAACTTCCAATGCCTTGTTTGATGCTTTTGAAGGATCAGCCAAATTACCATTTTGCCATCCACTAATCATGAGAGAATTTCCTAGGGTTTTGCACCCTTTATAAACTTCATTATCTCATTTGCTCATTCCTGATCTCTCTCTTTGCCTCCCTACCAAGTATGAGCTTTCAGTTACAAGAAGAAACAAATTAACAGTAAGGTTTCTCACTTCATTTTCATCCATCAATTTCCATCCTTTCCTGAGATTGCTCCTTTAAGTTTGGTTGTGTGGTTTGTTTGGGGACTTTAGGTGTTGAAGGAGGTGTTGTCTGAGTTGAGAAGAAGGGGAGAACCACACATGAAGAAGAGGCAACAAAAGGTATAACCCATGGACTCGCACCTGACTATGTGAAGTCAAGTTTAATGATGAAAATGTGTAGAAATTCTAGATTATTGATGTTTTTGAGCTAGTAGTGATCTATTTTTAATCTATGATTGTGTTGTTGGGGATTTGGGAGTATTGGATTGCTCTGAGTTTTGTTAAGATGAAGAAAAACCCCACTAATGCACAGACAGTGTGCACCAGGTTGAGTCACAGAGCTAGCCAACGGTCCTAGGCAAGGACCATTGGCAAGCCCCGTGGAGGAACGGCCCTAGGGCACAGTTCTCAGCTAGAACCGTGGCCCTAGGCCGCTGCTTGGCGGAGCCAAGTGGCGGGACTCCTCAAGCCCCCCGCAAGCTCCGCTAAGCCAATCCAGTGTAGTGGTCGGGCCCTTTGTGGCTCAGCTACGTGTCGTTCAGACCGGGACTCGCGGGCCCTTGAAACTCGGACACTCGGGATCGTTACGACGCACTAGTAAAATTTGACTTCGTTCAATTTGGAGTTGAAATGAGTAAATTACAGTAGCTTTTGTGTTTGAGAATTGCCATTGATGTGTACTATGTAGTATTTACAGAGATGGAAAATGTGAAGTATTTAAACTTAGCTATTTGAATGAGAAAGCATGCCAATTATTTGATTGTTGGATTAAGAAGCATGATCATTATTTTCCAAGTTTGCTTGATTAGCATGTTTAAATAACCATTGTGAGTTATAGAGAATTTTGTCAAGAATATGAGATATTTGGTTGTACAATGCATGAACTTATTTGTCCAGTAAAGTGAAATATTAGAGCATGATGTCTATTTTGAGTTCTAAG